AGGGGGGGGGAGGTGAGTGAAATAGAACGGTCATAGAATCAAAATAAACCCAAATCTTTTTTGGGGGGAAAGAGGAGATGTTTTTGGCCGAGGGGTGTCAAAAAAGTGTACGTGTGTTGGGGAGAGTAAGGCGAGGGGGGGGGGGGGAGGATTTTTAACTAAAACAAGTACAAATAAGAGGTAGATGAATCTACACTGATAGCAAGTCTGATTTCGAGCGATATATCTGAAAACATACAATCCTTCTCTTTTTCAAGAAAGTGCAAGCCTTCAGAAAACGCTCAGAGCACATTTACGCAACTTTATCCATACAATTATTAATAATATTTCTAATAATAGTAATAATGATTATGATTATAATTAATAACAATGATGATGGTGATAATAAAAATGAAAAATAATAATGTATAGCATTTTGTATAGCGCAAAATCACGATGAACAGCAAGCTTTACGCTCTTTACAATCTATATTAACAACATTAAAAGAGTATATATCAAAACCCTGGCATAATATCATTATGATTGTATTTCATAAGACACAACGCTCGGTGTATAAAGCAAGGCAGTAACAAACAAGATAGTAGATTCTGAATATAAACAACAAGTCTGTTAAGTAGGGCCATAGACTTGTATTACAGCATCCAAGACTGCTCATTGTGACGTCATTCTGGGTCGCCATTGAGCTCACCATCTGACTCGTTTAAATTCGAACCAAATGAAGGGCAAAGGGAGAGAGGTTACGCAGGCACTCGACTGAAGAACGACTTGTATTTTGTCCTGTATTTAATTTGCGCGCCTGTGATGCGAACTGCAGCACCCAAGTGGCGTCGGTAGCCTAGAGGTTAGGCTACAGGACTCGTAATCGTGAGATTGCGGGTTCGGGGGTCCGAGCCTCAACTCGGTCCGACGTCGTGTCCTTGGAAAAGACACTTTAAACGAATTTCACTTTTGGCTCGGTCCTTTCGGAGACGGACGTTAAACTAGGAGGCCCCGCCTCTTAAGTAACCCGTTAAACCCATACCATTTGCAGCACCCATGGGTTTTTTTTAGAGAGCAGAGAGCAGAGAGCGGCGGCTATGAGAGTGTACGGTCTAGGATATTGTAAAGCAAGTCAATGAGTAAGGCATCGCTGTTCTCAGTTCAAACAATAAGTAACAACGTTCCATTTTGTACAGTTTTCAACACATTCCATAGAACACATAGTTCCCGTGCTTCGTTCGTGTATCGTTCGAAGTCAATTTTAGTTAGGCAACAACAACACTTGCATAATGTAATCTCAAGATAACAAAGACAACAACTACAATACGTTTAGTCTCCAGGCTTTTTGGCGGTATAATTTTCATTATAAACGCACCACTTTTTGAGAGAACCGGAACGTTGGATCAAGAAAACCCTGCAACAATCTAAAATGGAACACATAATGCTGGTTGTATTGTTCATGACATGTAACTCTCCATGTCCTTGTTGCCTATGCTAACAGGGAGAGCAGTCAAGAATTTCTCCAACTGAAAAGGCTGAAGATCAGTAAAATATATCATGTTTAAATGTTTAACGATTAATCCAATTTGTTTGCTTTACAAAATCTTTGAAAAAGAAATATGGTATCTCAGTGTGCATTCCAAACCTACTTCGTGTGAACGCCTTACAATCTCGCACAGTGCGGTGGGGTAGGCTTGTGCTGTGTTAGTTTTTTTCTATAAGGAATAGATCCAAAAACAATAATACTATAACCTATCATTCGCCCATGTTGGTGCAGCTTTTAACAGATAAATTCGCTTAACAGAGAGATAAGAGGTTGAATTAAAGGACTATGCAAAAATATTCCCTTATTTTTAAACCACATTTCACAACATAACTTTTATTATGGAAGAAAAGGTAGGGATAACAAATAGAGTCACGGTGTATGAAGGAAAAGCCGGAGGTTGGAGCTCAGTTGGTATCAAGGTGACATGCGCGGCTGCCTGCCCTGTACGAATCAATGTTGCTGTTACATGTAACAGCACTCCGATTGTTGAAGCAGTTTCCATGGTTTTTGCACAACTGAACACAATCTTGTATAAAAAGGACGTTAAACTGGAGGTCCCGCCTCTAAAGCTCTGAAAGGAATATTAGATCATTAACATACTATAGACCACACAGCAAAACTTTGGTCATAAAGTGTAAGGTTGTAACACTGATGTAACAGTCATACAAAATAAGAAGGTGAAAAATAGCTCAGAAGTGACGTTTCAGTACACGTGTAGTTATCGTCCAGTATTCTGTCGTGAAAGCAAGTGTTCTGTCTTTGGAGTGAGCAATGCTGTCATCTTCTTTATGACGTCACTGAGAACAGTTCCAAACCTCCATAAAACACGTCAGAAAAATGTCCAATTGTTAGCGTCTACATTTTAAAAGTCATGCTTCCTTTCGACTGTGAAGTAAACTTAGTGCAAGTTTCAGCAGTAGTCACTGTTTCACTCTGGAAGTAATGTTGCATGCATACAAGGGCATCGTCAACGATGAAGTATATCATTTCTTCGCCCGAGTTGCAAATCGTACGGGGAATTCTACTATGCAACTTTTTTAAACATACTGTTTGAGTGTTGTCGTTTGCTGTCTGTACGTCTTGTTTGTGTCTATTTTATACACGAGATTGATTTGCTTTAGCCTGGGGTAACCAATTTATAGCCGGCCGCCTTGGCACCACGGAGTGGGGGGGGGGGAACAGCTTGGAATATGTGTTTGTACTGTAATGTAATCACTTCATTGAACTCTAAATGGCATGTGTTTGTTTATTTGTTTGGATAAAGGAGTAGTACATCGACACAATAATGATCTTTTAGGGATGGAAAATTAAGACACACAGACAGAACCAACTGAGGGAAAGTCAGAATTAATTAGCCCCTACCAGTAGCGCCCTGCAACCACCAGCTTCTTAAGCGTAAATTTATCGTACTTTTATAGACTTCATACATTTTAACTAATGTATTTATTAAGCGTTCAGTGTACTGTACTAAACAAAATAGCTGTCCGGCTCTCGTTCGGCATTCTTTCAGTAATCCGGCCCACTTTGAAACAAATTTGTTGACCTCTGGTATAAGAGATAAAATTCAGAACTGTGGTGCGAACGTTAAAGCTTCTCAGCCTCATTGGCCTTCTCGTCATTAAGAGCCATCATTGGTTCCCCATTCTCCTTCCCGTGCACATAAAAGTCTGTGACGCTGTATCTCCTCTTGCACGTGCGCTGTCTGTAACACTTCAATACGTCATATTTTCGGGGTATAATCTCGTCCACAAAGAGTTTGTTGGTCACAAGGGAGACAACCACGATACAAATCGTGCCCATGAGCATCGCAAACGTCCTGAAAGGGAAGAGTTGTATCCCCGCACCTTCCTCGAAGAACGGATACTTGAGAAGGGGAGGTAATCCGAGCACAGGTTCCCCGGAGAGCAATCGAAGAGATAGAGAGACCACGAAGCCTGTGAGGCTGCCGTAGGCGTTGGAGTTTTCCATCCACAGGACAAGAGTCAGTTGTGGGAACAGGACGACGTACATGAGGTCAGAACACAGGAGGTACAGGCCGTAGATCGTGTTGGAGAAAATTGCGATCAGCGTACCCAGCACACCGACAACCAGCACTGTGATACGAAGTACCCACATAAGTTCTTTCTCGGTGGACTAGAAGGACAGAAAACGGAATAGAGTTGACAAATACTTTAAACTATGATAGAATGATATGTCATCATCAAAGAATTTGAATTATAAACAATCAATTAGGTACCAAACACACACAGGTACACGCGCGCACGCGCACGCACGCACA